AGAAGCTGTTTCTTCCTAAACTTCAATTTATGTGCCTAAATGACATACTGGTCGAGGGGTTCAACTAATGCAGGTGTGCTGGGTGGCAGGAACTGCAATTTGACATTAAGTAGTTGGAATTTTTTTATGGCAAGTGGCATTGTCAACAAACAGTATGATGCTGCGCTTTTTCTGCATTTTTCTGTCAAAACTTTGACGCCAATCTTCGAAAATAACTGCAGTCATCCATGCCCTTTTATTATTTTTGTAAACTACCGGTAGTTTTTCGTCTTACTGTTTCTAAAAGTTCGATCGTTGGCTACTTTCCCAAGCACTAAAGCCGATTCTCCCTCCCAAACATATTAGTACACAGTATAACTGATACGCTTCTTGCTTCTTTTACGACCTGCACATTTTTCTCGTCTGACAAAACTGCTTTTTCCTCACAGCTTTGGTTAAATGTCTTGAGCTGCGTACCAGAACACATTTCGGGTTATTTTGCTATCCCGTCTGAGGCAGAACACATATCTGAGTCATCGCTTTCGCCAAATTGCTTACCAAATATGTGGTTGTGCTTATTGATGAGAGCTGCAGCCAACCGCTTGATGCTTTAAATTTTGAGTTATTCTTTCGCTAAGCGTAAGACTCGTTCTTGCATCAATGGTCCAGATAGTGGGATTAATTTTGCAAGTGCAGACTGGCACCATATCCAACAAAGTTTGTTTATGTCTTCATTTCCGATTTTTCTGCTGTTCCTTTTTTTAAGTCTAGAGACGTTGTTTTCATAGTCGTTTAAAAACTCGTCTTTCCTTTTCAAACTTGGCAGAATTTGTGTCCTTCCTACTCCAAAAATTCTTCCAATGTTCGCGAACATTTTCCTTCTTGGCTGTCTTATCACTGGGATGCTTTCTTCAAGTGTTAGTGCCCTCGCCTTTGCGAGTTTAGAATTACCCATTTTCTCCCATGTCAGATCCCTCAATCAGAAGCTGTTCCGCTCGAAGTGAACACTGAATGCTGCAGTTTCAAGTTTTTTCGGTACTTTACGCGGGACGAATACTCACACACTTTCCCTATAGGATTCGGGATTTGCCCAAAACGTGCACATTTGTGTACAAATCAGACCCATAGGACAACCATCTACACGCAACGACAGATACAGTCCAACCTGCTATGGTGACCACCTGATCTATGGGGCCACATTTTGTTAGTCCCTTGAGTGGTCGCCTTGTCAGTGGCGTAGCATTGATGGAGGGGTGAGTGGGATGGGTGGCGATCCGCCCCCGGGAGGCATGTGGCAGAGAGCGGCACTTTTAGTCCACTGCAAACTGATGTACACTTCGCCTTGAGACGGTAGGCTGGCCTTCACACACCTATCAGGCCCTCAGTAAGGACATGTGACAACACGCGACGGGTGCTGAAATTGTTATTGGGGCTCGTTTCTCCGCAGGTCTACTGCAATTCACTCAGTCGTTCACTCACAATTACACATCCAGTCGCATAGTCGATGACCTCATCGGTTTCAGCATTCTACCCGACCACCATGTTTGGACTTCAGTGTAAGGCTTACGTTGTTACACTGTCTCGATGACCTCACAGTTTCGGAACACTTGTGTGAGCGCATATGGTGCGTTCAACACACTGCCGCACGTAGTTGAAACTGTGGCGTGGTGGTCACCTCTTACAGGTTCTATAAAACATACGGATCAGGAAAAACCTCCTCGCAGTTGCGTTAGACAAGTGAACGCGATAAACAAGATAAAACCAATGAAAACACATCGGAAAATCGTTGAGGATCTTTTTGGCTGTTCGCCATAGACAGATGGCCGCTATAGCAAGTTGAATTCGCCGGACGACTTTTCCCGCTCTGTTTGACAAGCTAGTTTACATTGTACATTACTGTGCAGAACAGATATTTCGTGTTTACTTCTGTGAAACTCAGTTATTTTATGCGATTCTGAATTTGATTCTTATGCATTAGTGTCGTATCCGCATATTCTACTCTGGAATTTTTTATCCAGTACTTATCGTTCAATTTAACACCTTTACCGTCGCATCATCTAAGAGATCCGTAATGACGAAGCTGACTCCCTGTGGCACTTCTTGCAAAATAGTTGGGCATGGAACCAAAGCTGTTACATGCCTTGTGTGTCGTGTGGATTTCCACATTTCGTGTATTTGTCTCTCATTCGAGCATTTTAAACAACCGCGTGAATATCAGCATGACTGTCCAAATATTGTGCAAGAAATGCCAAGCCACTGTGCAGTCACAAACAGCCGAGAAGCCGAGCGAGCCTACAACACGGTCAAAAACGTTCCATAGGGATGTGCTGCGTGGGTTCATCCAAGCAAGCGGAAACCCAGCCACCTCTATGTTCGAACGAGCCCACGTGCCCACCGGTTGCATCCTCTCCAGAGCGATATCCACCCGTTGCTGGAGACTCAGCTGGCGGATACTAAGATACCGGTGTGCGATAACACAGACGATGAACGCCAATGGAGGATGCAGCAAGGCAAAGAAGCGAGGACAACTGCCAGAAATCAGCGGCGTTGTAACCTTGCGATGTTTCACGCGCCTGAGTCGACGGATGCCAGTCCTCAGGATCGTTACGACCACGTGGCTTTTCTGCACAGCATAGTTGATAGGCTTTTCGACGTGAATGAACAGGTGTTGGGAGTGTAGCAAATCAACCATCTTAGAAACAAAAGAAGAAGAGGAAGTCCCGGCCTCTGCGAGTCACGTTTGCTAATGCAACAAGTCCGAGGCTAATCCTATCCTGCCTCGGTAGGTTAAAAGGCCTAAAGATCCGTATTCGACCCGATTTGGACCCGTCGGATAGAGAAAAACTGAAGTCCGCTTTCGTGGAGTTGAAGCGGTGGACTGATAGTGAAGAAACCAGTATCTACATTGAAAATTTTCCGGTAGTTCCCCGGGTCCACCGAACCCGGATCAACAAATCGATGACGCTTCGTGCGCGTCCGTCAGTTCCTACCTCGACCTGAGCGTAGACTTCGCAAATGTTTGTACTTTAATGAACTAACGTGACAATGTATTTTAATTCGTTGCCTCTCATCGTCTGGACGTATTAGTACTGGACGAAACCTGGTCACTACCAAGGAAGCCCAGATTAACGGCTACTCGTGCTTCCGGTGCGACAGACTATCAAGCGATCGAGGCGGTGTGCTGTTATAAATTCGGTGCTTTCTGTGCTGGAGACTGGTACACACTAACCTCAGCGAAGAGGACCTATGTGAACGGTTACGGTTCTCGATCCGCCTGAGACAGGGTAAACTGTTTGTGGGTGCGGCTTATCGCAGCCCACGAAGTCAATGTCTGGATTGATTGCCGAATGTCAGAAACTGCATGAATCTGCCCCACTTCTTGCTTATGGGTGATGTTAACTTGAATCGAATTAGGTGGCCTGAGGTCCAATTTCTCCCCGGTCACTGTGAAATCGGGGCGCAGTTTGCTGAGATGGTATTTGAAACTGAGGCAGCACAATATGTCTGCCAACCGACGCACGTTATGCCGCATTCCGCTCCATCGAGTCTGGACCTACTACTAATCAGTTGCGAGGAACGCGTACATAAAATTCATGTCCTGGAGCCTCTGGCAGCTAGTGACCACTCGATGGTGTTAGCCAGGTTACAGCTGCTGCCGTCCTACTCGCGTCCGCCAGACCTGCCCTACAATTATTGCAAGACCGACTTGGATGGTCTCATTTATACCGCCAGTGAAGTAGACCGGTTGCTGCCGCAGGATTCAACTATTGAAGCTTGTTGCTCCGCTATAAAAGAGGGTGTGCAATCGTTGTGCGCTCGTTTCGCACCCCTCAATTATCGGAAAGCTGAATCAGTGAAGCCACATTGGGAGACGCGCGATGCAGCTTCAAGCGTGACCGATGCAAACATTTGGGGAACGATACAGCGAATTGAGAAAAGGTGCATTATTGGTCAAACTTCCAGGTAAGGTAATACGTGAAGGGTCAAAACGGACGATTAGTGTTCACGACGTATCCATACACAGTGGTGGTGGAAAGCAATCATGCAGTATGGAGGAATGCAACACATGAGAAGCCAATGACATCTGTACATGTTTGATCAGGAATCACACACGAAAGGGTCATAAGATGCCTTGAATGGAGATAACTGCAGGCGTTTGAAGGGACACAGAAACACTGTGTTTGGGATCACAACCAAAGCAGAAACAGTAGATTGGACGCCAGCGAACAGTGGGTGTTGTGTTGATCACATTCATCTGCAGTTGTTTGCGGAACAAGATTCACCGACGTGGAAACTAAGGATCAGCAATCCTATCCACAAGGGAAATAGTCGCATTGACGGTGGTTCATGTGCCCTCTGAAAATATGGAGTCAATCAGGGCAGATGCACTACTTGAAAATGCACGACATAATAGCCCCGGAGCTACATGGGTCCAGCCATGTGTACTAGCCTACTGTATGCACGCGTAGCTGGACCGAAGTAATTGATGGCGGAGCGCCAATCGTTATCATTTACCTAGGCTTCTCAGAGGCGTTTGATCACTTAGGCCATCGGATTCTCCTTCACAAGTTTTGGTACATCGGCAACCCAAACCTGAGTCGGATAAATAAATTTCTACATGATTGTCGGTCGGAGGTGAGAATCCGAGAATATCTGTGCGGGGAGGTGGAGGTGGAATGCGGTGTACCTCAAGGCTCAGTGCTACGACCTCGCCTATACTTGGTTTTCATAAACGACCTAGCGAGGACGACCGCTTATATTTGCACACATTAAATCGAAATGTGCAGATCGATCAAAAGACCAGAAGACCACGAGTGGCTCCAGCATAATTGTGTCGAAATTTCGAATTGATCATGCATACGCTTATAGACTCGGATCACACAGACTGCAAGCCAGTCCCCAAGGATGTGACTTAGTGCGTTTAAACAGAATGACCTCAACTGTTTTAAACCTTCGAGGCAGTCGCAAAATAAGCCGGTTGCTAAGGTCTTTTTGGCAGTTTTGACACATTACTCTTTCTAATGACGGATAGCTATGAGGTGAGCCCTGATGTTAAATATGCTATAAAAGCTTGGCAACTCTGATTGCAGAGCGACCTTAAGAGGCTAGAGACAGCATAAGGCAGGCAACAAATAACGTCAAAGGTCTACGCAATCTCTCTGTACAGCAAAGGCACCCAGTAAACAATGAGAAGTGTCGAGAAAGAGTTTAGGGATCGAAAACGTATGTAGGAACACGCAGAATCTACAATAAGGTTCCAACTGAATGTAACATGTGAAGTAGGCTCGAAGAGAAGATAGTAAAATCGAAATCATGCCGATTATCAGTTTGAAAAGCGCGGTAAGAAGACGAAAACTGGTAAATGCATGCATTTCGTATTGTCTCCTCAGTACCATTAACAATAACCGGTATGCAACTATATACTTAAATATGTGTGTGACCGAATAAGCATAAGGTGAAAAATGAATGACGGAAGTTCCACACCTATGTCCACGGCAGTCTTAAGCTGATAAATAATTGCTTTTGAACACACAGGGCCGGCTTCATCCGGCTTATCGCAACCGCCTCGGCGAAACTGTTGAATACATATGTGAGCTAGCTGAGCACTCTAGTTCTTCGTTACTAATTCCAGTCGAATTTCTAAAGGAATCCTTACTGCTGTGCACAGCAAATGTTGGCTTTCACTTTCAGAACACCCCATATCGTCAAATCGATGGTGTGGCAATGGGTAGCCCACTAGGCCCTGTACTTGCCGATTTTTTCATGCTGATGATAGAAAGAGGCATATCCACAGAAATAGCCCAGTTGCCATACTGTAAGCGTTAGGTTGATGACATATTGGCCTTTTGTTCATCAGAGCAGCAGATTGTCCAGTTGGTGCAGCAATTCAACTGCGCACATACCAACTTGCGGGTCACCTGCGAAGTGGAACAAAACAACTGTCTGCCATTCTTAGACATCCTCATCAGTCGCAGAGATGACGGGCTCATTAGAAGGTCTATCTACAGAAAAGCAACCTGGTCCGGCCAATACCTGCACTTCACCAGCTTCACACCAGTGCGGTACAAGCGGACCCTTGTGAAAACTTTAGTTAGTCGTGCTAGACGAGTTTGCTCCGCTGATTGTCTAGCCGACGAGCTATAGTTAATTACAACGACCCTCGTTGCAAATGTTTATCCACGTAGATTTGTAGAGAGACACAGCCAACAGCGAGGCCCGAAAGACTTGGTGCATACGGCAGCCAAGAAAAAGATTTATATCGAGTTGCCATTCAAGGGTGACTTTACTGTATTGAAAACCACGAAACGTTTAATCTCTGCTACGCAGAGAAGTTACTGTGCTGCTCAGGTTGTGGTCATCAATAGAACCTGTAACTTGCCGGTGCCTCCAACGAAGGAAGCTCAACCGATAGGGGCCAACTCACACTGCATATACAAATTCGTATGCGACTGCGGAGACAGTTACATAGGCAGAACCAATCGGTCTTTGAGTTTCCAAATAAAGGAACACGTGCCAAGGTGGGTTCAACGTGAAATTGACCAGAATCCCTGTCCCACTGAAGTTCCGTGCTTGCGCAAACCGCCAGCTTCCTCAATAGGTAAACACCTACTGACTACGCGTCACCGGATAGAGCTCGGATCAGCGTTCACACTTGTACTACGTCATCCTAATCCCCGCTTCCTCCGTTTCGCCGAGGCGGTTGCGATAAGCCGGATGAAGCCGGCCCTGTGTGTTCAAAAGCAATTATTTATCAGCTTAAGACTGCCGTGGACATAGGTGTGGAACTTCCGTCATTCATTTTTCACCTTATGCTTATTCGGTCACACACATATTTAAGTATATAGTTGCATACCGGTTATTGTTAATGGTACGGAGGAGACAATACGAAATGCATGCATCTACCAGTTTTCGTCTTCTTACCGTGCTTTTTA